GCGCACTTGTGCACAAGGGTATATTAATTTTGTTCACATAACGGTTGCTTGTAACAGCCAAAACGACTCGAGATAGATATAGACAAATGTATACATAAATGCTCAGATTGAATACAGAAATCGATTAAGCCATGTCTGTCCGTCTGTCCGTCTGTCCGTCCGTCCGTGTACACGATAACTCGAGCAAAAATTGAGATATCTCAACGAAATTTGGTATGTAGGTTTCCGTTAATCCAAGGTAGGTTGGTATTGGGCGAAATCGGACTGTAACCACGCCCACTTCCCATATAACGGTAATTTCCAGAAATACGAAAACTGCGATATTTTAGTAACTACTGAAGATAATTCATTCAAAATTGATATTTACAATAACTTTCACACGAAAAATAAGAATATAATAAATTTTTGGAAAATGGGCGTAGCCACGCCCACTTATGGTTCCATGTGTATATCTTGGTAACCGCTGCACCAATTTCTTCCAAACTTTGCTCAGTTGTTGGTCTTGATACGGCATACTAAATGGCGGAAAATTTTAAAAAGCGGACAATAACCACGCCCACAGTCCATATAAGGGTAATTTAGAGAAATACGAAATCTTCGATAAATCAGTAAATATTAAAGCTAATTTATTCAAAATTGACGCTTGCAACAATTCTTTACCAAGAAAAACGTTTTGGAAAATGGGCGTGGTACCGCCCACTTATGATCACATATATGTATATCGGTAACCGTTCTACCAATTTATACCAAACTCGGTATTTTTATTGTGCTTGCCACATAAAAGCAAAACGTTGAAAATTATTGAAATCGGACTAAAATTACGGCCACTTTTCATATAGCGGTAAATTTCAGAAATGCTTGAAATTTCAATACTTCGAAATTTAAGGACGCTAATTTACTTAAAATTTATACACCCCGGCTTATCATGTAGCGGTAGCTTTCGGAAAGGTGGAAAACATATATTTAATACTTGCGCCGGGTATTTAATGTTCGGCTCCGCCCGTACTTAGACTTTCTTACTTGTTTTTTTTTTTTGTTTTTCTTAATTACGAACCAAAATCAAACGACGAAGAAAATTGATTCAAGTTGAACATTTGATGACACATTCAGAAAACAACTTTAGCTGAGTGTGCACAGATGTGTTATTTGCTAACGGATGCCGGTTCTAAGCCCGTCAGAGGCAGCGAGTTAAAATGATAATACAACTTTTTGTTTTGTATCTCCAAATTATGAAAATGCATCTGAGAAGTGCAGAACATAAGCGTATTCAAATGAAAAAACTGGCAACCAGAAATTTGGTTTAATTTAAACAAAATTGCGGTCAATAGTACCGTATTTCATTGTTGAAAATATTAACCATGGCATTGTTAATATTAAACACAAATCACTTTGATTCCTTTTCAAGTTTGAATGTGGTCAAAAAACGAAAACTCGTTACTTAAGTTTAACGGAGTGGAACAAAAAATTACAGGCTTGATGATTCCAATTCAGGATGCAATCCAATTTTCAAAAAGAAAAACCCCATTATCTTTTTGTATTTCCAGGTTAAATTTTTCTTTATGGACGTAATAAGTTTTAAAGGCTTCTGAAAGGCTTTCCAAAAACGCAAAGGGTTCAAACTGATATCTGAGTGAAATATTTTGTTGGGATGTGTATAGTAAAATTTTACGGGGACTCTTTTGTATACATTTCTATGCACTATTTCCTTTATTGAAGATTACATAAAAAAAAAAATGGCTAGCCTCTAGAGGGTCATTCCTAGTGAAATTTTATTAGGTGTCTACTTAGTCAAAATTTTTTACGATTAACAAAAAAGTCTACCGGAAGCTAAATATCTAAGAGTTATAAACATATTCGCTGGAAGTTGCAACATGATTTCTGCACGTTGGAAAAGGGAACCCGATCTACAAATTTTATCGTCCATACAAAAAAATACGTGAAAATATAAAATGTTTTAGCGATTTGCTCTATGAAGGTTCTCGTAAAAATTGTTACATACATATGTGTGTTACAAAAAATTATTTTTTTCATTTTGTCGGGCCCATTACACGACTTTTTCA